AATGCATTGAATTTATTGCGCACTCTTGCCGAACAGTCGTATCGGGTGCGGCCATTCTACTTTGATAATTATTTAATATTTCAATACTTCACACAACGCAGCGAAATCAACGAATTGAATGTAAAAGATATAAATAATTCACATCGGATCTCCTTCTTGAAAACTGAGTTGCTCAAACATTTGCTCGATAGGCGTCGGCAGATACTGTACTGGTTGTTCTACATTTTGTTAGCGTTCTCTATTCTCTTTATATATCGTCATGAAGCAACGTCAACATTGAAAGAGACACGGATGGATTCATTCGTCTACCCCGGGATGCGTATGTGGCGACGCTTGACATTGCCGCTAATACAGCGTTTTCCACGCCTAACTGAATTTTACGACGAATCCTGCCTAATGTCTAACCCATTCTTCCAAGTAGACGATGTCAGTTGTAGACAGTGCGCGGATGTGCAAGGTGTTATTGATCTAACTGAGGCAAAATATAATAAACCAAAATCTACGCATGATAATATTGATCAGAGTAGTAATAATGTTAAAGAAGAAATCACACCCTTAGAGTTAGTGCCTTTTCTATTCAAAGTAAGACATTCTATTTAATGTAATATTCTATTTAATTATAAATTTTATGAAACCATTACAGATCAATCAAACACCAATTGAAGTGCAGGACTTATACAATATTTACGCAAGCAACTATGAAATATTCCAACGTGATGCTTATCGCGTTCAGTCCACCAATCGCGAAGTAACGAATCTTGAAGAACTATTTAGTCAATTTAATAGCTCACTACATACAGAATCAGAAATACGTCCAAGTAGTCAAGAGCCATTGCAGGCACATCACTTATGGCGCTGCAATCGTATGATGCCTGCACGTTTGTTGCGCCCATTATTTGCATCGACTCGTCTTCCAAATACTGGCATCGCACTAGAGCGGTACATGTCAATTGACACGGCCAAAGCGTCGGCATATACTTTACCTGAAACGGAATGTGCCAATGTTTATGTGCAACAGGCGCAAGGGTCCCGTTTCATCATCTTACGTCCAACAAGTGAATGCAGACACAAGTGCCGCACGCTATCAATGCGACTGCCGCAGTCATTTGTGTGTAAGTGAAAGTTTTAAATTTCATTATATTTTATTTGATATAATTTTTTTTAATTAAGTTTGTTATTTACATTCAAATTTTTTGGAAATATTAATTTTAATTGAAAAATCGTTACTTTTTGTTGTTGTACCAAGGATAGGATAGTATAGGTTGATCCATGCTAACAAAATGAGGAATTTAAAACTATACTTTCCATACTAAAAATATAGAAATGTACATGCTTTAAAAGCAGGAAGTGGATGTAACTATGTCTAAGAGCCATTTATTGTGATAACCTAATATTGCTCTTGAAATGAGAACTTTAATTGAAAGTACCATAGACAAATATTTAATATATATATTTATCTATAATAATTTACAAGGCAGCTTTCGTTCTTAGCTGCGACTGGTTGTTCTGCACCAGTCAGCTTAGTCTTGATATAACTGCCACCAATTTGTTGTACTGAGTGCGTTTACGCGGTTCGTTACTTAAACCATCCCCCCAAAGTTTGCGGACGTCTTCTATCGCATTTTCCACGAACGAGTAATGAATCAAACACCTAATGAGCTTCGTTATAACTACATTTATATACTAGTATCTTAAGTGTTTTAACATTACGATATTCGAGCAGATTGCATTTACTTGTATTCGAATATTTGGATGTATTGTATAGAAGCGGTTTCTCCGCCTTACCCAGGGTAGTTTCAGCTTAAACCTCACTCATCCTTAATTCACTTTTATTCTCAAATAATCCCCATGTCTTTCCCTATGGCTTTCCCACTTCCTTTATCCAACCTTATGCTAATCCACCTTATGGGTTATCACAATTAAATCTGTTCTAACAGTGAAATGATTATGTTTTATTTTATTATCATTTACTTACGATCAGATAATACTACAAAACATATTAATTTGAAATGAAAAACAACAAATGACTTTAATAGTCGAGTGTTGAAAATATATTTAATATCTCTATAAAGTTTTTTCAATTTTCATCACAAAACAATGTACTATATCACGGAATTTCTATAAAAATTGAATTATATATAAATCAAATCATTTTTTATATAAATAGAGTAATGCATATTTAAATAATATTAATATATTTTATTTTTACAGTAAGCTACAACTGGTGGTATTGGAAACCCATATCTGCCCCTGATCCAGCATCTAATACACCGTCAATAAGTTTAATTGGATCTTACTGCTAAGGATCGCTCACCAAAAGCCAATGTTATGATCTCATATTCTGAGCATAAATAACATTTGTGCATCTAAGTTGATGGCAAAATACGAAAGACTTTTGCCAATGCGACTACGTAAATGATTTAAATGATCTACTAACATAGAATATCCTACCCTCTTTTATTCCTTTTATACCACTATAATCAAAAATGGTGTCTTAAGTGTGGTATAATATAAAATAATTCAGACTGTTGTACTTTTGCCATTTGCCATTTGATATTTTAGACGTTTAATTTTGTTTTGGACGTTGTCGTTTATTAACTACTGACTTATTTTATATTAAACTGCCTTTAATTAAACAAACTGTGTAATAATATATTTTGACTTAATAGCACGAAACAAATATTTTTGAATTTATTGCAATGTTAAATAATTTATTTTATCCAAGTTAATGTAACGTAAACATTTATGTACTAAACACTGCTGTATTTTATATATCGTAATCAGTATCAGTATCAGTAACTTTGTTATCAACAAAACCGTTTCAAGCAAAAAAGTGCTGTTCGTATTAATCGAATAATGGGTCTGTGCCACGAGCTACTCGTAGTAACTTTGAGTAACACTGTGTATACACAAGTGCGTTCCACCAGCTAATTTTCGAGTAAATGAGAGCATCTCAGAGAGCGTAACATCCCAGTCGAAATTTGAAAATGCTACACAAACTTTACTCGTACATTTTATTTCAAGTAAAATTTGTGTTGATGGTGCGCGGCACAGTCTTCACACAAAGCTGTTCCATGGAAATCTGTGTAAAGAGCGTAATTTGGCAGTTTATTTGTGTTACGCTCTCAGTTTGTACTTGTGTTTTACTTGAGTTTTACTACGAGTAGCTCGTGGAACAGACCTAATCTGTTTCATATTTGAATATTGTTCAGATGCGAAAATCCGGATATGCATCATCTTATGAAAAGATTCGGATGTCCGTTTCACTTCAAATAGTATTTGAATATTTAAAATATTGGTGTGCTATACAACTTTCCGGTTCAATTTTGAGTTGAATAACTTAAAATTCTCATATTGTTTGCAGGTGATTTAATTCGGACTATTTGGAAAGTTCGAAATATTCGAAAATGAACAGCACTAATAATAACAAAATCACATGTTGAATTTTTTGTTATTTTAAAAATTTGTAATTTTATTTTTTTTTTTTTTGTAATAAAACTGAATGCATTTATTTTTTTATTGTTGAATATACTCGTCTACACGTCAATGTGTTTTTGTTTTATGCGTAGCTCCTATGAAAAGAGTGAAATGCTTTGAAAGCTAGCTTTAAATTATATAAATCGAACGAAAATTATGTAAATTGTAAAAATTTTGGTAACGAAATGAGGAAGGTAGTTAAGAAATAGTCTGCGCTTGTAATTGTGTTTCATACAGGTTATATTAAGTTTAATTTATATATATATATATGTATACAAAATGTATATTATCATTCTGTAATGAAATTTTTATTTAAACTCACATTATATTGTCAAATTAGTATTAAATATATTTTAAATGTAAAATAAAGAGCAGAAATGTATCTATGTGTCTATGTTTTTAGTGATAAGAATATGAATATCAGAATATAGAATTGAAGCCATTCGAACAGATGCTTAATTAAGCATCATGAAACTACAACAAATATATCATGAAACAAAGAGTATTCTATAATAAATAGTGCAGACACCAAAAAAATGCGTTGAATATGGTGGTCTGGACGCAGATCGAAAATCACAAGAGTGTGGCTTGAAATGCCAATACAACAGAGACTCTCCCAGAAGTAATGCGAAAGCGGTTCCAGAATCAATTACTTACTATTTGTACTATTTGAGCAGCAAAGAACTGCTCAATAATGGAATTAGTTAGCTTTGGTCAAAGAATCTATAGTACAAAGAAGTGCCACGCTCATACAAACGAAATACCCACTTTATTTTGCTGGTGGATTTATAATAAATCCACCCAACCTGATGCAACAATGTTCGATCGAATCACATCTGGTATGATGTTCAGTTTAAACCTATATGTGAGTCGAGTAAGGCTGACAAAAGCCCGACTGCATACGTATTCAATCATACATGCAACCCTCTGTATTACATTATATGCATGTTTGTATGTTTGTTCGCTGTAAAATGTTCAAGCGATCAAACAGCATTTCAGTGACGAAGTCAAAATTGTGTACATTTGATAAGTTTTTGAATTTAATAGCATATGAAACAAAATTACCTGTTTGATATTGTTATAAATTGTAGTGTAAAAACACATTACAAATTTATTTATGTCTCAAATCTGATTTTTTCCATTCTATGAAGCTTTATTCTTAAATGTTGTCCATGCGCAATGTTTCCGAAGCAATATCGTAATCACCAATTTTAACATTTCAATCCGGTGTAAATAGCATTCATGCGCTTCCTCAAACCAGGAAGCATTATTAGAGGTTTTAGTGACTTCTATACATTTTTTCAATATAATTTTTCTTACTTTTCTAATATTTTTATTTTCTTTAAAATACTTTTCAAACACTTTTATATGAATCTTAAAAAAAAATTTTAAAATAATCACAAAAAGTCACCAAAAATTCAAACTATTAAGAAGTAGTTCCTTTTGAGGTAAATATATGCATGTGCAATAAAAACAAACATATTAATATACTGCAGACTTAATGTCTCCAATATCACATTCGTACATACATAATAGTTTTTGTAGTGCATCATTTTTTGCAAGAAAAAAAAATGTGTTCTATTACTCTTTACTCCTATGATATAGGCCTTTCCAGTACAAGAAAATAAAGCAACAAAGTACATGGTAAAATTCTTTCAGGGATTTCTTTACCATTCACTTCGCTACTAATCAATGTATATTAATAAAATAGACAAATAAAAACAAGAAAGGCAAAAGAAACAGGCATATAAAAACAATTGTGGGTTGCAATGAGTTTGAACTGAACATCATACCAGTTGTGACTCGATCGAACATTGTTGCATGAGGTTGGGTGGATTTATTATAAATCCACCAGCAAAATAAAGTGGGTATTTCGTTTGTATGAGCGTGGCACTTCTTTGTACTATAGATTCTTTGCTTTGGTGCCACTTCAACTAAGATATAGATTTTTTAGAAATCCAATAATGAATAATTTGAATATAAAAATTTCTATTGAAATCCTTCGCAGTATAATAGTATTACAAATATAGAGAGGGGTGAATTTACGTTCTACTGCCTTTTGAAGCCCCATAAATATTTATTAAACCCTGATATATATTTAGAAGCATGGAGCTGTTGTAATTCCATATGTAAATTTAATGATTCTAAACATATACTAACACTTAATATTTTTTTCGCGAATCAATCATTATCTGTTAAGTGTAGTTTCCTAAACATTGACTTAGATAGTCTCCCACATTTTCATGGACTCAATAAAAAGACAAACAAAATATATTATTAAGTATTTATTTTTATAATTATTTCTGTATTTCATCAAAATATGCGCCAGTCATTAAATCTTTCTCTTCAATACCAAATACTTTCATCAGTTCATCAGCCACGGCCTGTCCTTCTGAAATGGTTTGTTCCGGCTTCAAACATACTTCGAATTCCATAAAATTGCCCAAATTTTTCACTTTATCCATGTGGATACGTGTGTGATTATGCATAAAGAGATAGCGTGTTTTTTCTAAAATCCCTTTCGCTCCATTGCTATTCGTTAATATTTTCTCCAGTACCTCTGGTTCATTTGTTTCTATTTTATTGTACTTGGACAACTTTGGTCCTGCTACATCTGGTCGATCGTAATAGACCAACTGCGAACAAGCTGGTGGCTGTAAGTAACGAAGCTTCAAGCGCCCACTTTGTGAATTAAAGAAGACGTCTTTCTGTACTATCAATTCGCCTTCAGTGCCGGTAAGTTTGCGTGCAATATCGACGCGACGTTTAAATTCTTCATCGTCTCCCACGCGTGCTTTGATTTCTATGTTCCTTTCATCACTGGGTACTGTTCCAGGACCATTGTTTGGAATAATTTCTGTACTCATTTTTTTGGAGTAAAACGATTGCAAAAGTATATTTAACGTTTGCCGCAAGAAAATTTTATAGTTATTCTGGCGGGAAAGAACAAACATGATGCCAAAAAAAAAACAGGGTGCATCATACTTTAAAAAGCTTTCCTATGTTTTGAAAATACGCAACAAAATTAACATAATATTATATTTAAACTATGCTAAACTCGAGAAATGTCTTTACCTAATGTCATGATTCTTTTTTCAAAGTTTTTCAACTTTATTAATTTTTCCTTGAATGGATTGAAACCATGAAGTTAAGGCATCTGCAATATCTTGCCCATTATCGTAGTATGGTGACAACCAGTACTCCATTGATCTACTCTATAACCGATTCTATTCACCATAGCACAGAATGTAGTGTCTTCGTAGCATAGATAACGTAATTTTGCACAAGAACCTTAATACCTTCACTTGAGATAGCTTTTTGCATTTTCGTAGTAGTTTCCTTAGTTTCTGGTTTAGATAAATGTAGTTTGCTAAATATTAAACCTATTGACATCTTTATTCTGATTTGAATTTTGATACATTTTGTTCTATTTAAGATACACATCAAATGCATTAGTGTCTGTTAAATAATATTTGCAGTTCTTAAAATTATTTTTATTGATTTATATTTTTATGATTTATATTTTTATTTTCATTCTTTGACAACAAAAATGAACTCCTTAGCATTGGGTCCACTGGCCATAATTTATATCTTTAATATGTAGTTTTAGTGTATTTAGGTATATCTCAGAAGATGATTTTTATTTTGGACGTTTTCTTCTACTGCAAAAAAAATTATTGCTTTCTAGGTCGTGTCCGAGTTCGAGTAAATTGAGGAAAATAGTAATAGAGAAATAGTGTCGCTATAACAGCGAATGTTGTTATTTACCAGAATTTAAAGTAGGGTAAATTCGATTGAAATTAGGTAAATTAGGTGTTACCATTGTGAAAATTTTATAAGATGTTTAATAAATAAATAAATAAATTTGATGACTTTTAACCAATAATAGTAAATAAGTGCAATAAATAAATAAATAAATATTAACATAATTGCAGTGCAAGAAGTCCCTAGGAAATTTCAATTTATTTTACCTCAATTTACTCGAACTCGCACACGATCTTTTTAGTTGTTAGTAAATTAATTTTTTTGAGTATAAACACCTTGTAAGCGCAAGCGACGGGTGAAATCAGCTGTTCAATATTGACAAAAAATTTCCAAATTACTTCCAATTGGACTTGCTTTATTTAGGAATCAAAAGGAGAATGTTAATTAAATAATTAGATTGTGGCTAAAAAGGTATCTATTTGTTGTTATTATTATTTGTTAAAAAATCGTTTTTCATTACGTAACTAGAATCGGCAATAAGGTTTTGTTTACTTGATGAGAAATGCCCTTCTACAGCACATCCATTAAACGTGTGTTGGACAACTGGCCGGGTAAAAAACGTTTTGGCATATATAGATTTTTACCACTCTTCTTCTTCCTTGGTGCGGGTTTGGAGTTTTCCATGATAAATTGGACTGTGGGAGAAACCAACTTTTGTAAGAGCTTTGCGTAATCAGAAACTCTCGTACTGTAGCATTTCATTGAATTAGTCGTAGATGATTGACAGTCGTCTAATGAAGTGCTTCATTAAGAGAAATAATTTTTGAATTTTTAAAACTTTAACTTAGCGAGTTATTTGTTTTATTAGATCGAACATTTAAAAGACGACAAGCCAAAAATTTGGTTGAAGATAAATTACATTCGATTCAACAGCAGTCATCAAAGGAAACCGTTTAACTTTGAAGCTATAGCACAATGCCTGCTGGAGTTGGTTGGGGTCAGTATATAAAATTCTTTACTTGTGCTATGCTTTCCATGATGGCAGGCTCCCAATTGGTTCACTACTATTACAAGCCATTACAAGATCTAGACGTTTATATTGACAATGAGATGAAAAATATTGGCAGTGCAGAGAAAGACAAAATAAAAATAGCAACAAGTTAAAATTTCACATTATTTTCCTGTCTTTTATTCAAAATTATAAAATAAATTATATATACAATAAGTAGTTTATGATTATATTACATTGAGTATAAGAAATGGCAAAATAAAATAAAATCTGATGAGAGGAATTACTTCCTTGCCGTAATGCATAATATATCGTACATCTATTATGGGTACTATTAATATATTATAACGTTTTTCCATAGTATATTATATCTTTTTCATTGCACAGGTGTTAAAATAATCACTTAAAAGAAAAATACTTTATAAAAATTGCTACGGAATAAATGTACCAAATCAGATTGGAAGAACGCTCATCCTGCTTCTTAATAGAAGTTGAGTTCCTTATCAGACACAAAAAAGCAGTTGTTGTTTATGGTAGAATACGATTTTATAACTTATTGTTATCTGCTTAAGAATAGATTTAATAAATAAATATACAATAGTATAAAAAAAATTTATATAGAAGTTCCAAAAACGCAATACTTGTCCCTTATAAATCAAGTAGGCATTCAAACCAGATTTATATTGAAGATTTACTACCTTTGTCTATTTTATGCTATTTCCTTGTATTAAGTGAAGTTTTTCGTTTTGAGTAAAGTCGTTTCGATATTAATAGAAACGAACTTGTACGTTATTGTAAAGATTTAGCCCAGTGTACGCATAAAGTATCAGTTAAAATTAGCATTTGAAACTGTGGGTTGTTGTGGCGCCAGTAATGTGTTCATTAACGTCCGACTTATGTTTGCTGCCAGCAGCCCTGAGGGAGTTAATTTTTCGTGTGATTTCCTATGATTTTTGAGGCAAGTCTGCTGTCGATATGCTTGTCCGCAGATATCGCACACATAGGGTTTTTCACCCGTGTGTATATATTCGTGATGTCTTAAAGTTTTCCGTGATGCAAAACATTCCGAGCAATATTGACATTCGAACGGTTTAAGTTTCATATGCACAGCCCGTATATGCGCTTCAAGTTCAAATTTTCGTATGAACTGTTTACCGCAATGTTCGCATGGCATTTTCTCTGTTGAATGCACCAACATATGCTGCACGAGCATAAACTTTTTGGCCATACGTCGCCCACAAACGTTGCACTCATATTTCATGTCATTTGAATGCAATTGTAATGTGTGATATTTTAAAGTGTAACGAGAATGAAAAAGTTTATTGCAGACAGTGCATTCGAAACGTTCTTTGCACTTCTCCTTTTCCGCTTGCTCTGCTTCAGTGGGATGTTTTGTTTTCCGATGGTATTTTAGATTTCCACTTTGATTAAATGTGGCACCACATTGTTCGCATACATACTTTTTCTGGCTTTCAAGATCGGTGTGTTTAAGACGTTTGTGTTTCTGCATGGCTATAAAGCTGGTGTATATCCGATCACAGCCAGAATAATCACAAGCATATGATCTTACCTCTGTCTCATGTATCTCTTTTATGTGCGTGTATAAACCACCAATAAATGTGTAAGCCTTGTCGCAGCGATCACATTGAAATGGTCGCTTACTTCCCTCATGCACTTTGCGTATATGTGCATCCAGAGTAATCTTATGTGCAAAACAATGATTGCATAATCTACATTTATAATTATTCTTTGTGCCTTTATTTCGTCGCTTGATTTTGCTTTCTGCTTTATTAGTTTGTAAACGTCGCCATTCTTCCATTTCCTTTTTCGTGCGTCTTTTTTTCTTCTCCATTTTTAGGGTTATAGTTTCACATGCAATTCTTCTAGGACGTAAACGAGTAATTTTCTCTTCCTGTTTGATAGTGTCATTTTCGTGATCAGACTTATGCTTTTCTTTACCTGATTCATCACTGGAAGAATCGTTATGCGAACTACTGCCTACACTTCCGGCACACTCTTGCCAGAGGTATTCTGTATCACTGTTATTATTTGGAACGATAACCTTAGAAAGTGGCGTTGAAGCTGATGTATCAAAAGGATCGGGATCTTGTATTGTTGTACTAGCTAACGCTACCGAACCGCAGCTATCCAACAGAATTGATTCTGTCTCCATCAAGGAATCTCTAAGCTACAATATTAGAAGAATTGATGTATCAATTAACAATAACAATATTTTTATCACTTACTAGTAATTTGTAAATATCATCTGGACTTCCAATTTTCGACTTTTCATCTGTTTCTTTTATATCAAATGTTGTATTACTTGTCGACTCCAA